CCACCAACTTACAATATGTTCATGCTAGGGCCCTCTGGCTCTTCATAATTCAAACTCAAAAGTCAAATTTAATTTATTCAGATTAAAATGAGAGACAGCTCAGGTTGGAAATTTACCAAAAAGCAACTTATTTGGCTATTACATAGGGTACTATTATTCAGACTACATTCAATAAATGTAAGCAGGTTTTAAGACGTAGTTAGTTGGTCCTTTAGCAATCTCTCTCACAAAATGATAAGGATATCAGTATTTGTCCATGGGACATTCTAATATTTTCAGGAGTGACTGAACCCTCTGAACCTGGCTAAACATTTTCTTGCTAGTTTGTTTGTATGGTGTGTAGCTTTGAAGTCTGGAAATCTACATGTAAATTTAAAGGGTAAGGCAAAAATTAGGTTTATAGTTGTGTATGCAAAACAGAGTTTATTCTTGTGTTATTGTTTATTATTGTACTAGAGGCCCGGTGCACAAAAATTTGTGCTCTCGGGGGGGGAGGGGGAGGGTCCCTCAGCCCTGCCTGTGCCCTCTCGCAGTCTGGGACCCCTCAGGAGATAACGACCTGCTGGCTTAGGCCTGCTCCCGGGTGGCAAAGGGCAGGCCCAATCCCTAGGTGCAGCCCCTGGTTGGGCTCAGAGCAGGGCCAATTGGGGAGTTGGGGCACCTTCCCCTGTCATGCACAGAGCAGGGCAGATTGGGAGGTTGCGATGCCACCCTCAGTCACGCTCAGGTTTGGGCCGATTTGGGGGTTGGGGCACCTCCCCCGTCACACTCAAGGCAGGGTCAATGGGGAGGTTGCGGCGCCACCCCCTGTCACGCACAGAGCAGGGCCCATCAGGGGGTTGGGGCATTTCCCCCTGTCACTCACAGCGCAGGGCCCATCAGGGGGGTTGGGGCTCTGTACCCTGTCATGCACAGAGCAGGGCCGATCAGGGGGTTGGGGCGCAGCCCCCTGTCACGCACAGAGCAGGGTCAATCAGGGGGTTGGGGCGCTGCCCTCTATCACCCACAGAGCAGGGCCGATCAGGGGGTTGGGGTGCCGCCACTCTCACACTCAGGGCAGAGCCGATGGGGAGGTTATGGCTCTACCCCGTCACACACAGAGCAGGGCCCGTGTGTGTGTGGGAGGGAGGGGTTGGGGCACCGCACCCTGTCACACACAGAGCAGAGCCGATCAGGAGGTTGGGGCACCGCACCCTGTCACACACAGAGCCGCAGGGCGATCAGGGGGTTTGGGCGCTGCCCCCTGTCACGCTTATCCCGGTGCCGGGAGGCCTCGCGGCTCCACTGATCCCGGTGCTGGGAGGCATATTACCCTTTTACTATATAGGGTAGAGGCCTGTTGCATGGGTGGGTGCCGGCTGGTTTGCCCTGAAGGGTGTCCTGGATCAGGGTGGGGGTCCCCACTGGGGTGCCTGGCCAGCCTGGGTGAGGGGATGATGGCTGTTTGCAGCTGGTCACACATCCTTCAGGGTGGGGGTCCCCACTGGGGTGCCTGGCCAGCCTGAGTGAGGGGCTGAGGGCTGTTTGCAGCTGGTCACACACCCTTCAGGGTGGGGGTCCCCACTGGGGTGCCTGGCCAGTCTGGGTGAGGAGCTGAGGGCTGTTTTCAGGCTGGGGGTGACTGAAGCTCCCAACCGTTCCTTTTTTTCTTTTTTTTTTCTTTTTATTCTGGGCCAGCTTTAGCTTTGAGGCTTGGCTCCAGCTCTTAGGCCTCCGCTGCTTAAAGTAGGTTTCTGGCCTTTGCTTACAATGTTGCGATCCTGCTGGCTGAAGCCGGGCAGGTTTCTGGGGTTTTGTTTAGCTTCTATGTTTGTTACATAGTTGCTTGCAGCTCAGAGGCCTGCAGCGGCAGGCGGGGAACGTTGGAGTCCTCCGTCACTGAAGCAAGCAAGCCTCATGTTAGTTTCAAGCTGCCTGGCTGCCGGCCGCCATCTTGGCTGGCAGTTAATTTGCATATTGCCCTGATTAGCCAATGGGAAGGGTAGCGGTCGTACGCCAATTACCATGTTTCTCTTTTATTAGATAGGATTACTAGAGGCCTGGTGAACAAATTCGTGCATAGCTGGGGTCTCTCAGCCTAGCTGGTGATCAGGGCCAAGGGGCTGATCAGGGCAGGCCGGCCAGGGGGAGAGACTGCAGGAGCTTGGCCGGCTGGGGGAGGTTGGCTGTGGGAGTGCACTGACCACCAGGGGGCAGTTCCTGAATTGCACATCTGCTCCCTAGTGGTCAGTGCGCATCATAGCTGTCATCCGGTCATAACGGTCGCTTAGGCTTTTATATATATAGATTTTCCCTATAAAACCTACTTTTGCCCCACCATGTATATTTAACTGCTGGGAGACTCAGTTTCCTCATTTGTAAAAAGCTCACCTCACACAACTATTATGAGAATTAAAGGAGAAAATGTATGTAAAACACCCATGTTAGTGCCTGGCACATGGTGGGCAGACATTTGATCAAACATAATTCCAGGTGTATCTATGAGAGTGTTTCTGGATGAGATGAGCATCTAAATAGGTAGGCTGAATAAAATAGACTGCCCTCCCTAATGTGGGTGTACCTCTTCAAACCAAGTGACCTAAATAGAACAGAAAGTTTAGTAAGAGAGAACTCCTCATGCCTGGCTGCTTAAGCTAAGACATTGGTCTTCTCCTTCAGACTCCAACTGAAAAATCGCCTCTTGGGACTATTGGCATTCAAACTGAAACTTATACCACTGAGTTTCGTGGTTCTCAGTCCTTCTGACTCACAGCAGAACTACACCATTGTTGGGGGCAGAAATAGAATAGTGGGGATTAGCTATAATTAAAAGAAATATTAACCATGCTCTGTTAACCATGATTGTTCTATTCTGATTAGAGAAAGCACATTCCAACCTGGCTGAGAGTTGTACACCACAGGACATGGGAGTTAACCTTGGAACACAGTCCATTCACCTTTTCTGAGAACTGCCTATTATCATAGAAAGATTAACATTCTTGTTGCTGAAACAATCTAGTCCCAGAGGCACCCACCCTTTGCAATACCCAGCCTCCACTGCCTATAACCTGGTCCTGGAGGTGCCTGCCCTTTGTGACCCTCTCCTGTAATCGTTGGTCATTATAGCCCACATTGCCTATAACCTGTAACCAATATACCTTGCCTACTTATTCATGCCTGCAATTCCTACTCTCCCATATAATCTTTGTCCTTCTACCCAATATAAGCAACTGCTTATAGGGAGGGGTAGAGCAGATTTTCGTGGATGACCTGCTGCTCTCCTATACTGCTGGCATTACTGGAATAAACACTCATATATGATTCAACTCTGTTTCTGCTTAATTGGCTCAAATAGTGACAGGCAGCCCAGACCCATTGGTTGTCTGGTTTCACCATTAGCTCTCCTGGGTTTTCAGCTTTCCAACTATTGATCTTGGTACTTCTCAGCCTCCATAATCACATGAGCCAATATTTTATACTATATAAAGGATATGTATTTTATATACAGGGTGCCCCCCAAAAATATATACACACTTTAACAGCTGATAGCTCAATTTTGAAAATAAGATGTATTTTAATAAACACTGCTTTTATAATTATTTGAAGTGTGTGTATACCTTTTTGAAACACCCTATATTTAATACATTTATTTATATAGTTCATTATACATTTGATTTTAATATAATTGAGTTATTATATACTATATATATTCTTGATATTAATGAGTATTCATAAATATTTATAGATATAGTTTTATTTTATTGCACTTAATATATTGTGTTAATTTATTTATTTTTGTTATATGTTAATTTTAAATTTTTTATTTATACTATATTTATTTAAAAATAAATTTCTTCACTTATATTTGGTATACAGGGGTGGGCAAGAGTAGGTTTAAAGTATCCACTTTCATTGGTCTTTGGTTAAATTACCAGCTATCATTACCTAAAAGATAAATAAGTAAAGATATGAAATAACAATAATGATACAACAAATAATGCAATAATTAATAAATGAATAATAATGCAAGAATAAACTTTGTTTCATGTACTCACCACTGTAAACCTACTTTTGTCCCCCCCCTCCCCCCGCCTCTATATACTAGTACATCTCCTGTTGGTTCTGTGTCTCTGGAGAACCCCGACTAACCAGTCATCTACAGCCACCCGACATCTAGACAAGAGGAATCCTCCCCCTTGGCCTCATACTTGAGAGAAGCATGCATATCACAAACAAACAGAATAAAAATACATTTGTTAAAGAACATAATGGCCCCTCTATTGTTCATCACCCAGCATCCATTGTTGACATAACACTACCAGGAGCCCTAAACATCCACTCTCATAATCAACGCTGCTGAGGCCCCAGGAAAGTCTCCACATTTCTCCCTACACGCTCAAAACAAAAAGCAGCTGTGTTTGAATGCCATGAACATTTGTGGGCAGTGCCGCTGCTGACATTGATATTGACACTACTTGAGAATGTGAAAAAAAATTGAGCATTAGAATTGCTTGGCTAAAAGAATAGACATATGAGTTATCTTGTCAAATCTTTCCTCCTCATAGATAGCTTGCATTCAATAGATTCTTGCATAACTTTGGTTTCCCAGCAGTGCTGAGCATTCTTTTCATGCTTTTCTTTGTGTCCCAATTCATGACTTCAGAGGGACTCATGAATAAACATGGTATTCACAGCAGTGGCACTGGGGTGACTAGGGAACATTTTGCAATATTCAACCATTCATATTACCCTTAAATTTATGAATTTATATAAATCTAGGTGTAACATTCATGCACTGAATCTTTAACTTAGCAAGTGGATAGACATTAAATGCTAAAATTAAAAATAATTCCATTTTCTTAAAAATAACATTTAATTACATTTCAAACATTAAATTAAAATGTCAGTGTGATTTACACAACTTCAACTTTAAAATTTGATGCCATTAATTAGTTTATATTTTGAATTTTATTGTAATACATACTTTTAAATATTTTAGAAAAAAAGTAACTTTCGGAAGCATACATAAGAATAGTTTCACATTTTGTTTTATGTTCAATGTGCTGTACATTTTTAGAAAAATATTTTACACTTTTATTATGATTATAGTTTTTATTTCTTATATCACTACTGTCAATAGAAAACCAAATGTGTGAAAATCCTGATATTACCTCATAAGTTATTTTTGTTAAAATTAAAGAAAATAAAACATATATCTTTATTTTATTACTTAGCCAAACATCATCAACCATAAAAATGACTCAGATATGCAAGGTAACAATTAAATTCTGTCATCTTTGATTTTCTGCCAACCTTCAGTCACATAATAAGAATAGCTTTAAACACATTTGTCAATTTTGCCATTAGGAAGGTATAATTGTCACGATATAGGGTAGACATATTTTATGTACTAGTCTGATAGCTTGATTTACAACTATAAAATACTTAGACATATGTTATACAGGTCTCCATTTGCACTCTTGCGTTAGAACCCACAAATATGAAGGGAATGGCCATGTCCCCAATCCATTCAGGGTGCTAGGTAAGTAACCTTCAAGGGTGAGGTATAACTATGCACATTACATATGGCCACACAGGCTTTTTGTTTTAAGTTCAAGAAGAAACATTAAAGTTGGAGGCCATAAAAGTATGGGAAAAATTCAGCCAATCAGCTGGTGACTGAAACATCACACATATGAATAGGAGAGAGGGAGGCTGCTTAGGTATTCACCTTGGATGGTCAGCATCTTCTAGACTCCTCCGGCTGCCTCTGTGTGATGCAACACAAGGGTTATTTATTTTTTTAATTGAAAGTTTATACTTTTTTACCACCTTCACTCATTTCTCCAACCCCCACCCCATGCTTCTGGCAACCACCATTCTCTGTATCTGAGTTTAGTTTTATTTGTTTGTTTAGATTCCACATTTAAGTAAAATTATATGGTATCTGTCTTTCTCTGTCTTACTTATATCACTTAGCATAATGTCCTCAAGAGCCATCATGATTCTCTTTTTTATGGCTGAATAATATTCCATTGTATGGAGATCTATCTATCTACGGTAGATTTATATTTGTCAAACTTTCTTCATTCACTCATTCATTGATGGACAGTTGGGTAATTTCTATGTCTTTCTTTAGATAAATACCCAGAATTGAAATTGTTGGATCATGTGACAGCTTTACTTTTAATGTTTGGCGGAAACTCCATGCTATTTCCCATAGTGGCTGTATCAATTTACATTCCTATCAATGGTGCATCAGAGTTCCCTTTTCTCCACATTCTTACCAATACTTGCTATTTTTTTGTCTTTTTTTATAACAGCTACTTTCACTGGTGTGAGCTAATTTCTCATTGTGGTTTTAAATTGCATTTCTCTGATAATTAGTGATATTGAATACCTTTTCATATACCTATTGGCCATCTGTACATCTGTATGTCTTTGGAAAAATGTCTATGCCATTTTTTAATTAGATTGTTAGGGGTTTTGTTTGTTTGTTTGCTTTTTGGTATTGAGTTTCATGAGCTCTTTATATATTTTGGATATTAACCTCTTATCAAATATTTGATTTGTAAATATTTTCTCCCATTATGTAGGCTGCTTTTTCATTTTGTTGATGGTTTCTTTTGCTGTGCAAAAACTTTTTAGTTTGATGTAGTCCCACTTGCTTATTTTGCTAATGTTGCCTTTGTTTTGGTATCAAATCCAAAAAACCATCACCAAGATCAATGTCAAGAAGCTAACTGCTTGTGTTTTTCTTCTAGGACTTTTATGTTTTTAGGTGTTATGTACAAGTCTTGAATATACTTTGAGTTAATTTTTGTGTATGAGTAAGATAGTAGTCCAGTTTTATTCTTTTCCCTTGGCCATCCATTTTTCCCAAGGTCATTGATTGAAAAGGCTGTTCCCATGGTACATTCTTGGTTCCTCTGTGCATAAATTAATCGACTATATATATGTTACTTTATTTTATTTCTGGGCTCTATATTCGGTTCCATTGATCTATATGTCTATTTTTATGCCAATCCCATACTGTTTTATTACTACAGCTTTGTAATATAGCTTGAAATCAGGTTGCATGAAGCTTCTAGCTTTGTTCTTCTTTCTCAAGACTGCTTTGGCTACTTGGTGTCTTTTGTAGAGAAGTCATGATCTTGACAAAATAATTTTCTCTTCTGTTTATCCAAGTGATTTGGATGTCCCTGACACATCTAGAATAAATATAACACAGCATCTGATAGAGCTCTGCACTCCTAACACCTCAGAGGAAAAGATAGGGGAACCTCTCTCCAATTTTGCTTCTGGTAGGAATCAGCCCCCTCTAGCTAGAATCCGCCCCTATCAAAGCAAGGCCTTTGAGAATTGGAGTCTCATCTCAGCAGCAGCTTCAACAACTTGGCCACTGAACTTTTGACTACTTGGGTTTGTTACTAAATTTGAGATCTTGAAAAAGATCCTTGGATTCTTTACTCCTCCATTTTCTCATCTTTATTATGTAAATAGACCATCTGTTTTCTTTAATGATTCACAGAAAAAGGCTTGTGCAAAAGAAACTCTCCTTATTAGATATAATGTTGTTTGATCTAGTAAGAGACTGCCTCCAATGGTAGAGTAAGACATATGGGTGGTTTTCAGAAGAAAGAAAAGAATAGTTTAATGTTTAAAGGAGATGAAGAACAAGTCTTCATTGGGACTACTGAAATGATGGAGTAAACTGGCCCCCTGGCCATGAATGGCCCTAGAAGTAAATGAGAGGATGAAATTTGTTGTTTTGGGTGTGTGGTTTATTTATTTTTTGGGGGGATGGGGAGTAATCATTTATATGCCCTTACTTTTTTCCTGTATGGTACAGGGATATGCATTCCCAACCACTCTTCCCTATGCACTCTTGGTACCCATATTCTGGAGACCTTTGCTAGGAAAATGGTGTAATTTATACACTAATTCATCAGTGATTACTATGAAGTAAATTTACTTGCCCTTTTAAAGTTACCTTCTGATGGCACAATGACTTAACTCAAAGTAGTGACCAATACCAATGAGGGATGAGTTTGGCCATCCCCACCCATATAATGTATAAGATCACTGAAGGATCATCCATTCCTGGACATACAATCTGGAGGGGAAGAGAGCTCCAAAGGTCTGACAGAACTGTATACTTTCAAAGCAGAAGTGTGTGCCTTACTTCAGTTAATTCTCAGAACAATCAAGGTAAGTACACATTAACATTCCTAGTTGTCAGGTGAAGGGACGGAAGCTTATAGTTTTCCCAAGACATATCAGTCAGTACACAGTGAAACCTCGTTGTGGACACAAGCCAGTCACACCCGCAAAGACACTAGCCACTGTGCATAACACTTTTTAAACGAGAAAGTGCCCTGAGAAAGCAGACCCATATATACAAGCACCCTTTGACAACTTTTCCTTAGTAAAATTCTTAAAGACTGCAGAGTTGCTATTGAGGTCTAAGTTCTACATTAACCTTCTGTTCTGCTTTTACCATTTGGATTTATGAACCACAGGCAGAGGAGGAAAGCTAATCCCAATTGTGACTTTTTATACCCAATGCTTCTAATAGTTCACCCTTGCTCAATGGGTCTGTCTTTGTGGGGGAACCATAACAGGAGATGGAGAGGACGTGGAAGACAGAAAAAGAGAGGAATTGCAGCTGAGAGCAACAAAACAACAGCAAATGCAATTCTTTACCTCCAAAGCCTCTGGACACTTCCCTCTCTTGGCAAAACAAGACTTTACAGCATAGACTTCTCTCTTCTGGGAGCTTATTCTTGATAATGGCTTCATAGTGCTCTTTGGGGCCTTTAAACTTGGCAATGTCCCGGGTTATGTCCCTCGGTCCTCTTCCTCTCATCTCTGTGTGTGTGAGAGACGGAGATTAGTTTTTATCTTATTTGACAGACAGGCAACTGGAGGCTCAGAGTTGTTATGCGCCTTGCCTAAGATCACACAGCTAGTAACTAGAAAAATGAAGATTAAACCCAGATTTCCTGACTGCCAGACCAGGATTCTTTCCAATCACCCCTGCAGCTTCTTAAAAACCATATGGCTCCACATTCCACTCCTATGCATTTACCTAATAGAAAAGAAAATATATATTACCCATACAAAGACTTGTACACAAATGTTAGAGCAGCTTTGTTTCATGGCCAAAACTGGAAATATCCCAAATATCCATCACGAGGTGACCGAATAAACAATTGTATATGCATACGATTACTTCTCAGCTATAAAAAGTGAGAACTATTGAACACACAACAACATGGATGAATCTCAAAATAACCATGCTGAATAGAAATAGTCAGACAAAAAGAGCCCATGATGCATGATTCCACTTATATAAACTCTAGAAAGTGGAAACTCATCTATAGTGACAGAGAGCAAGCAGATCAGTGGTTGCTTGAGGATGGCAGAGGGGACAAAGGGACAGAAACCAAGGATTACAAAGGAACACAGAAAACTTCTGAGGAGTGGACATGTTCACTCTCTTCACTGTGGTGACGGTTTCACAGATGTGTGCACTTACCAAAATGTATCACATTTACACTTTAAATATGTAGTTTATTGTATGTCATAGCTTACTGTTATTTTTTAAATGATATGGCTTGATTTGGACTTAGAATGTGACAGTTCAACCATCCCTCACCCTACCTAACCCCCAAAGATGCTCTCTTTCCTCAAGCTTTGGTCTATAGCAAGACCATTGCTGATGGGATGGTGAAAGGGATCTTATCAATACTGATGAACGATTACTATACTCACAATATTGGTCTTTTCCTCCTCTTTATGAATACAAATTTAGGGTGATGGTGGATTCCCACCAGGCAGAGGATTTTCTCTTTTTTTGCTGCCTGGGGATCACTTAGTAAAACAAACAGAAGCACTTATCATTATTCTTCCTATTAAATAAGCCTAGTAAACATTTGGACTAGCCTTGCAGATTTAAGGCAGATGTTTCCATTGTAGAAGGATGAAAAATGCTAAGAGAAAGGAGAGAACCAAAAAAGAAGCAAGGCGGGGAGGAAACCCTCTGGGGTACCGGAGACAGCAGAGGCAGGACTGAAGCCTTAATGCAAAGGCCCTCCTCCCAAATCAGCAAGCAGATTGCTGGGCTACGGGTCAGCCACTGCATCTCTGCATGGTCCTGCTGGTCAGGAGCCTAACCACCCCGGGATTTGAGATATTCTGGGACTCTTGGACTTGTAGACTTAAGAAGCACCGATGACCCCCTTTGCCTGAGATGGGAAGGGGGGACCAACCCTTTTCCCTACAAGTCCTGGAGACCATTCCCATCACTACCCATGAAAGTCAACTGAATTACAGATGGGCTGCCCCACATTCTTCACCAGCTCAGGGACAAATACGCAATTTGAGACATGGGGGGGGGGGGAGAGACACTTGAATTGGGTTGTCAAGAAGTAGGCATGGCCCTAGCCGGTTTGGCTCAGTGGATAAAGCGTCGGCCTGTGAACTGAAGGGTCCCAGGTTGGATTCCAGTCAAGGGCACATACCTAGGTTGCAAGCTCCTCCCTGGCGCAGGCCCTGGTCGGGGCACATGCAGGAGGCAATCAATGGATGTGTTTCTCTCTCGCATCAATGTTTCTCTGTCGCATAGATGTTTCTCTCTGTCTTTACCTCTCTCTCTTCCACTCTCTCTAAAAATCAATGGAAAAATATCCTTGGGTGAGGAAGAAAGAAAGAGAAGGAGGGGGAGGACGGAAAGGAGGAGGGGGGGAGCGGAGGGGGGGAGGAGGAGAAGGAAGAGGCATGATCTCAAGGTTGGAAGAAAGTTTTCTGCCCTGTATCTGATTGAAGGAAAAACTGGTTTAAAAGTGGTGGATTCCCTCTGAAGAGATGCCAAGACTCTGTCCTGGGACTGTCTCCACTTGAGGAGGGGATGCAGCTCCTGAGACAATGGGAGTCTGTGGCCAGGAGCCATTTCATGACTGCTAAGGGCTTGCCTGGAAAAGCTCTCTGCCACTGAAGGCCTGAGGTAGAGGAAGCTTCCTGCCTATCAGCGACACTTCAAACAGCAGGGAAGGGGCTCTGCTAACATGGGCACCTGGGGGCGGGGCGGGGGGGGGGGGGCAATGTTGCCAGCATCACTGATATCAAAGTAATCTCTTAGGAGAACCAGATTGCTTATTAAAATGTGGACACCTAGTAAATCAGCATCTCCACGGACAGAGCATGCACACTTGAACAGGCTCCCCCCATCACTGCTCTCCCAGCTTAGAAGGCTGGGAACCAGAGTCCCTCTCAGGAACAGTTCGCTACTGACCTTCCTCAGTTCACAGGGAGGTGGGGGAAGCTTCCCACAAAATAATCAAGACCTTTCCTGCAGTGAACATTTCTCATGAAAAGTTTCCCCTGCCTACATATTGCATGTCACAGGGATAAAGGGAGAGAGACCTTCCCTTTCAACTACTTGCTATCCTGTCAAAAGGCACATAGGAAGGCCAGCAGGCAGGAGGCCATGCCGCGCTCTGCTGTGAGGCGAGCACCGCACAGGGCCAGGTCCTCTCATCTGATGCAATCCAGGTTCATTCTCATAACAGCCCGTGGGCTGAGGTCATTACTCCCGTTTCATGGGAGAGTCTAACACTCCTGCCGCCTGTCCATTCCTCTTGGCCAAGCAAGCCTTACTTCTCCGCATAGAGACTGCTGCATCACGAAGGCTTGGGACACCAGAATATCTTTAAGGAAGGTGCTAAGCCCAGAGAATTCACTGGGATCCAGAGACCATAATCCTGTTCCTTCCCCCAACACCTCCTCCTCAAAAATCATCCCATCTTCCCCGATTCCAAATACCTGGCTTGGCTTCAAACAACCCTGCCGGCAATATTTTGGGCTAAAGGGTTCTCCCCAGCCCAGGACATGCTGCAACCCACACACAGCCCAGATCTCTGGGATGAAGAAGAGACCCTGGGAAAGAAGAAAGTCACACCTGTACCTGAGTCATGCCAATATGGAACATGGCAGGACAAACACAGCCTGTCCGGTCATGTCTCCCCAGGCTCTGAGGCTGGTGTTTCCAGAATGTGTGTCATCATGTTTTCAACCAGGTAGGCCTAGTTGTCTTGGCTGCATGTCTCAATGCGAGCCCCACCTCCAGCCCCAGAGGGCGGCCTGCTCCTTGCCAGGTAGCACACATCGTCCAAGGCTTTCATATCTCAGAAACAGTTGGGCCTGGGCCCAAGGACCTGGTGACCATAGCTCCAATGTGGCTAAAGAGAAACCTAAACTGGAGGCATGGAGATTCCTCCACTCCTCCTCTCTGCAGTGTCTCCATCTCCAAAATGGGAATCAATTGTCTTCATTTGGGTTCTTCCAAAAGCAGACTCCAAGAGAAGGATTTGGGCTCAGGTACTTTATTTGGGAGGTGACCCCAGGAAATACAAGTAAGGGAGGGAAGGAAATGTGACAAGGATGGGAAACAGCCAGGAAATGAACTAGTTATTGTGGTGGGGAACCTTCTTAGGACCCATGTATAATATATATCAGAACTGTCCCACTAAAAGATGAAGAGCTGGGGTATGTATCCAGTAACTCTGGCCCCTTATTAGTTGAAGACTGCTCCTGGGAATATTAAACCCTTCTAATTCTGAGCTACCTTACATGTGGGCAGAACAAGCTATCACACAGGAGAAAAACCCATCAGGGAAGCTGAGAAATATGGGAGCTTGAGTTGGGAAACTGTCAGTGGGCCTAGGAATGTCTACTCTACCTCTAGGTGATGTCAGAGTTGGGGTCAGGGAGATGTTTGGGGTACCAATAGTGTCTGCTAACTTATCTTCCCCAGAGGGTGAGTTAAATGAGATAATGTATAAAAACCCTTGCTACTATGGCACATAAACACATTGTAGGAAAAGGCATTTATTATTATTATCATTATTATTATTAACTATGTGGGATTCACACTCCTTCATAGGCTCTCCTTACCAGATTGGGAACACAGATGCTTCCCTCCTACTTAGACTGAAACTGAAAATTCTTCGGGACCAATGGCTGATCAGGTCAAGGTGTAGGTAAATAAAAGGGTCGCTGGGCATATGGCCCTATGGGACTAGCTCTGAGGATGGTCAGCCCAGTACAGCACACACTTCCCCCAGAATCTGCTGCCTGGCTGAGAATCCACCCTACCTGGTCTGTGAGATCATCCTAACCTGGACAGGAGGAGCCTTGACTAAATTCCCTTGTGATCTCTTGGCACTCAAATGTCCACAGCATTCTCACTTTATCTTCTGCTATTCCAGGTCCATGGCTAGAACTCTCCAGCCAAACGATGTGGAAATCCAGCCACGAAGATGCAGTGAGCCTTCACATGGAGCTCATGATCATGAAACACACACTAAACCTGTGGCCCAATCATAAACAAGCACTGGGTTACCTGGATGACCTTCATTTAGGAAGAACAGAACACAGAACAGGCTTTAGTCAATGGGCAGCCAATTATTCCACTTTATTAGATGACACTAATAAAAGGGATCTACAATCATTTAGCTGGTCCTAATTTTGCTAATTCATTCATTCAGTAGGCAGCAATCGAGTACCTACTATATTTGAGGGGCTTTTCAGGTGCTAGAGCACAGACAAGACACACAAGTTCCCTCATTGTTATGGTGCCCACATTCTCCTGTGGCAGACAGTAAACAAATAACTAAAGAGTACATTTCAGATAATGATTTGTATACAAAGAAACTAAATCAGGCTAAGAAGGTAGAAAGTTGTCAGGAAAAACTTGTTTAGAACATGACGTGTGATGAGAAAGGAAGAGCCAGGAAAGATCTAGAGGAAGAGCACCAGAGATGAGCAAAGAGCAGGTGAGAGGGCCCTGAGGCAGAAAGGCCCTGGCATGCCAGAGAAATGGCACAGGGCCAGGCTGCCTGCAGCACAGCAGGGAGGGGGCAGAGTCCACCTGGGAGGAAGGCGGAGCACCAGGGTTCCCATGCAAGGAGGCCAATCCATCTCATGGAGCGCATCGGGAAGGGATCCTCACACAGCTGCTTCTAATCGTCTCTGGAAATAAGAAGTGAGATTCTCAGCACACAGAAAGGACGAGTGTTGGCGTTTTGAAGGGAGAGGGGTTGGAAATAGTAGTTTGAAGAGAAAGAAGACAGGTAAATTCAAAGGGAATGTGGTAAGATTGAGGTACTGAGGTTTACTGTCGTAAAGTCAGCATAGTGTGTAATTTCTGCAAGCACATTTAGCTACTTACTTGGTGTGGGTCCGGGGTAGGCAGAGAGTTGGGGTTTTGACAGGAGAAGTTGGTGGAGAAGAAGTAGGTAAGAAGGCTCAACACACACACAAGATACGTGTTTGTATCAATAACCATGAATCTAAGGAGGGCAATAGACTGAACAAGCGGTAGAATCCATGGATTGAAGGTTCTTTGGGGACTGAAGAGTATTGAAGGGCGGAGGGGTGCTAAAAACTCATTATAAAGTGTTCAGAATGGTGAGGCTTGAAATCAAGAGTTTAGAGGGGGAACAGTTATAGGTATTGATGGGGACCTAGGATGTAACCAAGGAAATGGGAGGCACCTGTTAAAAGGTAATCAGTGGCCAGATCAGTGAGTGTTCCACGGGATATTGTGGAAGCATAAGATATAGCGTCTGATCCACATGAATATAAAATGCTCGTGGCAAGACAGAGCCTTGTTTTATAAGTAAGGACACTGAGGCTCAAAAAGAAATAGTCACTTGCCCAAAGCCCTACAGTTAAAGTGAGGCAAAACCAAAACCCCAGCTTTTGTCTTCTGATTCCTGGCCCAGCTCCCTCTCTTTTTTTCTTAATCCTCACATGAGGATATTTTTCCATTGATTTTTAGAGAGAGTGGAAGAGAAGGAGAGAGGGTAGGATTGGGAGGGAAGAAGAGAGGGAGGGAGACAGAAAGAGAGAGAGAGAGAGAGAGAGAGAGAGAGAGAGAGAGAGAGAGAGAGAGAGAGACATCGATGTGAGAGAGACACATCGATTACTTGCCTCCCGCATGTGCCCCAACCAGGGCTGGGGATCGAACCTGCAACTCAAGTACATGCCCTTGACAGGGAATTGAACCCAAAACTCTTCGGTACATGGGCTGACACTCTCACCACTGAGCTACCCCAGCCAGAGCCCAGCTCTCTTTCGACTGAACCACAGAGTCTGACACGGTATCATCAGGTCAGGCTGCTTGGGTTCAAACCAGGTTCCCTACTTACTAGATAAAAGCCCTTGAACAAATACCTATTCTCACCATGCCTCAGATTTGTCCCCTTCACAGGATAGATAAAATAGCACCTATCTCAAAGGGTGATCTGAGAAATAAATAAAATAAAATTTGAAAAAAGTACTTAAAGCCTTGCTCAGTATACAGTAAGTGCTTAGTAATTGTCAGAAGTTACTATAATAAAGTAAAAAGTTTTCTGATACCTGCTATAAGCACTGCTGTCTCCCCACTCTCAGGTGCTCTGATGGAACATGGGAAGCAATGCCGCTTGCCATTGAGGTACTGAGGTTTATCGTCATACAGTCACCATAGTGTGTAATTTCTGCGAGCACATTTCGCTACTTGGTGTGGTGCACCCTTGCTGTACCTCTGACAGAGGCTTCATGGACCAATGGAGACTTGAGCAGGTGTTGGAGAGTGACCAGAGATTCTCAGATGCAGGTTCATGGGAAGGTGCAAGGAGCACTTGTCTTATGGATAACAGCATGAGCAAGAACCTGGAAGGGGGATTTGATGGGACATAGTCTTGATACAGTGAGGAAACCAGGCATCCAAGAAAGGATGAGTCCTAAAAGACCCCAGGTCTGGGGAGAGAAAAATTATTAGTCCAAGGACAGGAACGTTCTCAAATTTCTCTCCTCTTTGAGATGCTTCCACAGAAATAGAAAGTAATACCACTTGCCCTCCCTATTGCCCTGTTCTTCTCTTTTGGTGCCCTCTGTAGAGCAGAGAGTCATTCTACATAAACACTGAGCCCAAAAGAATCCATCAAATGGTCTCCTAATGAACCGAGTCCATCAGAAATTACAGAAGCATCAAGGCAACTGGGGCAGGAGCTGCTCGTCTCAAGTTGAAGTGACATCCACTTTACTGCCCTGTGTATTCTCCAAACCCCAAGTCTGGGTGATGAAGAAAAATGCTGTGTGGAAATAATGTTGGATTTAACTTCAATGAGAATAAGAAGACCCTGAATGATAGCAGACACTCTGTACTTAACTGACCCTATTATGAGCAGCTATTGAAGAATTTTCAGGATAATGAGCTATCTCATCTTCCATGTAACAAGCTGTGGGTAGATTGCTCAGACATTATAGTCTGAAAATAGCCCCACAGATATCAATGGTCCCCATAATTATAAAAAATCACAATTATTATAGGGCTACTTCTTGAACCAGGCTCTCTTCTATCAGGTTTCTTGGGGTTCAAGAAGGCACAGGTAAGGGGGTGTTTGTCCAACCAACCATACACTCACCATCCTGCCCACCCTGGAGTTGAGCCACCTAGGCAAAATTTGTCTCCCATAACTCCATCTTTTTTGGTAATCTCTACACCTTCAGTAAGGAACCCACACAAACAACATCCTCCCCAGAAATGAGACCCAAATAGCCATCCCTGATATAACAGTTATTTATTTATTTATGAAATACAATTTATGGAACATCTTTTATGTGTTTAAAACTGAACAAGACAACTATAGTCCCTGTCTTCCTAAAGCTAACATGGAAGTCCGATGCTAAATTCACAATCCCAATAAACGTAAGTGCTATGGTCAGGGCAGCACAGGTTGCATTACCAGTACCCCAGAGAAAGGGACCTAATCTCCCCCATTGGGAGTCAGGAATAGGTCAGGGGATGTCTATGTTCAAATACCCAGTGCTTATTGCCAATATTCAGTACATGCTCACATGCATACGCACGTACACACACACACACACACACACACACACACACACTCAGAAGCAAATACACCATCCATGAAAATCATCAGCCCCAATTTCAGGACCTCGCATAGGTCCTTAAGAGAACTTGCTGACCAGCTAAGTTAACAGGAAGCACCATGATGGAACCCTTCTTTCACATCTGCTAGT